CATAGGAATCAGTTAAGATGTCTGTACTTGAACTTTTAGGAGTATATAGGCCTTTGAAATACTACTATTCCATTTCACTTGCCCTTTTCTACCTCTTATATAGTAATTATATAGTTAGCCCTTTAAGAAAGAATTTATTCTCTAAAGAACACCCCTCCCCACTCTGCTTAGCTCTTCAGTACATTACCGCTGTGCCTGAGCAAACCACTCATTCCAACATGAGCCTTGCACCAACCTTGCTCTTTGTCCCCCCACCACTGCCACCTTTTTCCAAAGGAGTTCATTGAGATTGTATCTGTGACACTATGGAAGACAGATGAGCTTTCATCTATTCTTTTTTTTTTTTCTTTTTTTACATCCTAAAATTGTTTTTATTTTTATTTTTTTTGTTGTTCATTTATTCACATGTACATACATTGTTTGGGTCATTTCTCCACCCTGCCCTCCTCCCCCACCCTTCCCCCTCATCTATTCTAAAACAGAACAAAACTTCCAGTTAGGTGAATCTTCCTTTGAAATAGTGCTTTGACAAAAGATGAAGATTTTGCCCAGATTTCTGACCATTAGGTATGGGGCAGATGAAGGATGTCCACAAAGCCTTTGCTACTTCTCTCATTGAGAAGCAAGATTGAGTTCTCCTCCCTGGAACCTGAACTGGCATGTGGTTGCTCTGGCCAACCAGAGTGTGGTGGGATGATGCCAGCTGACCCTGGTGGTGGAATGATGCCCACTGGCTCCAGCTGCAGAGTGTGGGCAATGATGCCAGCCTACTCTGGCCACAGAGTATGGTGGAATGATGCCAACCAGCTCTGCCACCTGTTAGAGACCAGGCATCACAAGAAAAGTCACCCCACTCTGCTGGAAGGAGAACATGGAGGTTCTGAGTGGACACGGAGAGAGGCAAGGGCTCTACAGTCCAGCTGTCAGCCATTCCTTCACTCTGAAGACTCTCTGAGGCACCAGTTAAGTGCCAGTAAGAGACTCCACTCAGGGTCACGCAGAGAGAAGACTTACCAGCCAAACTGTATTTATAAGGTATCATGTGATGGCTGTTTTAAGCCTCCAGATTTGGGGCCCATTTGTTAGTAGCACAGCTAAATGGGATGACATAAATGCCTGTAGTTTAGGCTGCAGGACCACTAAAAACCATGGAGTCCTGGTGGAGTTCAGTTGGGCATCAGTATGGTTTCTGTCTTTCCTGGAAGATTCCCACTCGCCTCCAAACTCCACCCTGCATCTCTCTCCCACTCAAGCCTTAGCCATCTGGGGCCATGGGAAACCAATGACCCAAGCTGGGTGACCCAGTGGATTCTCTCCCTGTCAGTTCCTGCCTCTAATCACAGATGACACTGACTCAACCCAGACCAGACAGAGTCTCTCTCTACCAGACAAGTGGACCTGGGAGTCTGAGGTGCTGGGTCTTCAGTATCTCTGTCTGGAAGTCACTAAGCATCAGCCTAGAAGGACTAGAGCACCATTTGCACATGTAGAGCATGGTGTACTCTATAGAAGCCTAATGTGGCATGAGGACTAGAGATAAGGGGCTTATAGAGAAAGTGAGTGGGGATGGAAGGAGATGGCTGCCTGGGCCTCTGGACTTTTCCAGGTTTGGATCCATAGATTTCCTTTTGGATCTGTAGGGCTGCCCTTGCATATTTTAGATATTCATTCTCATTCTCATTCCCGTTCTCCCTCCCTTTTCCCTCTCTCTCCAGTGATGACGATGGTAAAGTAAGTAACATACTGAGCCCTGGAGACTGCAGAGAAGGCTGGCCATGAGGTGACAGAAATGCCCTTCTGTTGACCTTCCCTTTGCTGGGTGTCTGTGACCTGTACCAGTCTCCTGTAGGCACCACACAATCAGAAAGCCTGACAGCCAACGACTCCCATCCTGCCTTTCCTACCTTCAAGATCAACCTTCTACTGTCTGAGCTAAAACAGGGAAAGGCATCTAATTTTTTTTCTCTTTTCAATTCCATGTCCTCTCAAGTCCAATTGGTCATCACATCCTGCCTGTTCTAATTTGGGTCCCACTTCTTCCCACTGGTGACTACCCTCACCCCTACATTGTCACAGATCTGAAACTAATGTGATCATGTTGCTACTCTGCTTATAGACCTCCTATGTCTCCGCCTCATCCTAGTTAGTGGGGCCTGCAATGTGATGGCAGATGGCCTCACTGCAAGCTATTGAATGCCTCCATGAGCTGTCTCACAAGTGACTTCCCACAAACCATGCTTATTTCTTCTTTTCTGTGGTTGGAATATTCATCTGCCCTTGGCTGCCTGGAAAACTGCAAGCAAACTCAAGTTTAGACTCGAAAGCACCTCAGTTGTGAAAAGTCCTGTGATCTCCTGGGGGTTCTGTGCTAAGTACAGTGCAGTGCAGAACATGTTTCCTGAATAAATTCCACGGTCTTCTTTTCACAGAGGAGGAAGCAGGTCACAGAACCAGGATTGCAGAGCACATGGCCAGCCCACAAAGCATGAGATCTTATCCATGACACACTGTACTGTGTAGCCTCTCATCTTCCCCTGGGGAGGAGTCAGAGGAGAAGTCTTCTCTGTTTCCAGAGCAGTTACTGATGCAGCACTTGCCACCCTCCAGCTTATTTATGAGTCTATGTGCCAGGTGGTGAAGGCTTAAGGGCAGGGCAGGGCAGGGCTACAGCCACTGCTGCATCCTGATAACTGTCCAGTGTTGGGGGCAGAGCAAGTATTCAGTAAGTGTGGGCTGAAATGAAACACTGCTCTCTGATGACCAGCACAACAGAATGCAGACTCATACCACAGTTTCCTCTCACCTTTCCTTCCACACCTTGAGTTATGGCAATACCTTGTCTTGGGTTGGCACATAGGGTGACCCTTGACTGGGGCAACCCTTGACTGCAGTGCCCCTGCTCTCCCTTTAATTCCATTACAGTGGATGATGTCTCAGGTCCCAATCAGCTGAGTGACCCCAGGTTCTGTCCACACCATGACAGCTATATCCTATATCTACCTTTTATTTAAGCAAACACAGTGAAAGTAAAGCAAAGCAGATGACAGATGGGAGGAGGCAGGACAGTATGCACAGGAGATGGGACTCCAGAGTGTCAGAGCCAAGTGGGGCAGCTGGAAGAGGACATCATACCATGAAGGGGAGCAGGCACAGCCTTGGTTTGTGTCTCTATCTGGTCCTATACAGTCAGGGATGGGGAAAGCATTTCCTCTATTTTAGGAGCTCATGTACAGGCAGCAGGCAGTGTCCTTTCCCCTCTCACTCCTCACCCCACAACACTTCCCAAAACTCTCACTACTCAGCAAGAGCATATCTTCTCAGATTCCAAACACTGAATAGGCTTTGTTCTCCATCCTGGGACTAGAGGCCCTCTCAGCAGGAAGGGGTTGGAGTTGGAGAAAAGGGAGAATTAAGAATCTATTTGGCAATGCAGATTAAATAAACAACAAATTGGCAGATTAAAAAAAGGTAATACCTGCTGTTGGCAAATACACAGGAAAATGGATACTTGTACTACACTGCTTATGGGAGGGTGACTGTGATAACCATTCCAGAAGGCCATTTGCAATGTGAAATAATTGCCTTGGTAATTGCATTTCTAAGGTTTCATTCTAAGGACATAATGAAGGGTTTGTATAAATATTTGGCTCCAAGATTATTCACTATGGCCTGTTAAAAGAAGTGTGCAACCAGGAGCAACCTAAACCTCAAAACTAGGACTACAGGACAAACAGTTGGCACTGCAGCTTTCAGATGTAGCTGGAAAAGGGCTCTTAACATCCAGGAAGGATGCGCACAATATTGTCTTTGGGCAACAACAATAGGTTGCAGAATAGCACATGGGAATTTGAAAGCATGTGGATGTAGGATGAACTTATTTTCAAGTGATATGCTCAACACATTTCTCTTCAACCTCCAGATAGTTTTTCAGGTACAGTACCTTTAAATTTAAAGCAATGGATTCAGTGGTTAATCTTAGAAAATGACAATGAGCACATTATTTTCCCTGTGTTTCTAGACTGCTTACTCTAAAGTGTATTTATTATACTTTTTTCTCAATTAATAGTTAAACCATTGCTTTCAATTTAGAGATACTTCACCTGAAAATATATTGAGTATACTATTGAAAAATTTAACACATTATTTGAAAATAAGGTGATTCAATGAGAATGTCTGGTTTATCTATACATGCAGAGAAAAAGATCAAAAAAGAGACACCACTATGCTCATAATGGATATGGGCCCCACTCACCTGGACCATTATTGCTCAGTGGAAGAGGCAGACCTTCATCAGATTATGCCTCTGATACCCCTGTTAATGAGTAGAGAAGCTCTAAAGCAAAAGCACCCTATACTATGGACAGATTATAAAGCAACAAAATAATACTAGACTTGGAGATGAGGATACCTCTTTCTTCTCCAGAGTGACATGTGAAGCAATGCATGCCTCAAGATGAGTAGGTACATCCTAGTGACAAGGATGGTGATTCTATATGTTGGCTGAGATCCAAAAGAACCACCATGGGGTTTGGAGAACTGAGAATGAAGCCATGTAGACAGTACTCTAGGCCTGTAGCTATCCCAGTACCCGAATTTCTGGGCAGAAATCTTTCTCATATTCCACAGGTGAAAAGAAAAAAGAATTGCTCTATAGCTCCCTTGCTCATTCTTTCTTCAAGCAAATGATAATCACCCCATTCCAAGCTTCTGTTTTGGAGTTAGGTTCCTATCATCCTATGTCAGGATGGGTTTAACTCTCTTGGGCTAGGTATGAGAGGAGGAGACTGAGAATTTTGTGCTCTGTTTGTAAAGTAGTCCAAAATGCTCAGTAATAAATGGCCTCAAGGGGAGCCACAATTCCATTCCCTGGCTAAAGGGGCCACTAACTTCCCCTGTACCATAAAAGAGCTCCAAGAAGTAGGTGCTCCAACCCTGGAGAGGTTGGAGAACTGGTGTCTATGGAAGGGGACTCCACAGGGACCTGTGATCACCAGACTCACCTTCCAGAGCAGCACAGCCAGCAGCAGGAAGATGAGGATTCCCACAAGCAAACTTATGGCAATGATCCATCCCACAACATAGCCACGGGGCTCCAGGTTGTGCAAGGCTTCAAAGACTACCTAGAAGACAGCACAAGAGTAGAAACATGAAAGCTAAACCCCACATCTAGAGACAGTATAATAGTAACAACCTTGATTTCAATATCATAAAGACAAAAGTACAGTTAAAAACTCAGAGGGCACATTACAATCTGGAATCAGAACAGAGAACAGTCTACCTTGAATTTTGGATTTGAAAGAAAGAACTTAGGGGTACTTTTACTCCAAGACAACTTCTTTCCTAGCTTTCAGTTCAATGTGCAACTTAGTGGAATTATTTGATGAATGCCAGCTTGCTCAATAGACTGTGAACTCCATCAGGGCTAAGACACTGCCTTGGTTCTCATGCTGTGGCCAAAAGTGAAGGAAATCACCAGAGAAAGTGTTCTGAGGTTCCTAATGGGAGTCATATACACTCAGAGCCTGTATCTCAATGAGGCACATTTCTTACCTTCTGTGGAAAGTCCATGGTGTAATGGAGCTGGCTCATATCAGCTTATGAGAGCCAAGTGTACATCTCTTCCTGACTCTGTCTAGTGACACTATGATGGCAGTTTGACATGGGCCATGGTGGGAGGAGCACACCATAGAAATTGGTAAGCAAATCAGGACTCTTCTCAAGTCCTGGCTTCAGAGTAGAAGCCAAATCCCTGTTGAGGGCACTTTCAGAGTGTTTCTCCTTTGGCTAGTCACTGGTAAACTTTCTCATAATGATGGCATTGTAAGGTTAATACCAGCAATAAGGAAAAAAACCGCAGAAGCTATCCAGGGGCCTGGAAGCCAAGGTGGGCCTGGTCTTTGGTCTACCACAAACCCTCCATGTTGGCTCAGAGACTATCTTTATCCTCAAATTCCAGCTCCCAGTCCTCAGTACTCCAGCTCCAGCTCTCTGAGGAAGGCTGCTCTGGGGTAGCTGACTCACCGTCATTTCTTCTGGGTTCCCATGAGCTATTTCCACCACCCTTAGGGCAGAGTCCACCTTCACTTTGGCTCTGGCCATGAACTGGATGACAGATGAGCTGTCCTGTGGAGGAAATAAGGCAACTCAATGATAATGACAATGATCTTTCCTTGTGAAGGCCTGGACAGGACTGAAATTCCAAGATTCCATATAGACCAGACAATAATTTTATTGCTGAACTGGATACTTCCCTGTCCCAGGCACCCACATAAACACACATTTCTAACATCTCCTGAGAACTCTTTCAGGTTATGGAGGATGTAGAATAACCACAGTGTTTGTCATCACATCAAGCTTGTGTGCTATGGTTTCCAAGTGTTAAGAGCCAGGTATTTGGATACAGATATTGATGCATTCACAAAGAGCTGAGGATAAATAAAGTTGGTAAATTGCATGCAACTGCACAACAGTCATCTGATTCCCATTTTACAGACATCTTCCTGTCCTGACCACGGCCCTCAGACCCATTATGGAGTTAGTGCTAATTCTTCATCTGTTCTTAAACAAAACTGTTTTGGGGTTACAGTCATTGAACATTGAAAGAGGGTATGGTATGAAATGGAGAGATGAGGAAAGGGGAGACATTTAGTGTATAAATCAGGCCTCAGGTGAAAGGGGACAGGGGCTAGGGGCACCTCTAAGACCCAGGAATTGCCTGCTAGCAGAGGCAGTCAGAAGTCTTGGTGTGGGTTCAGATTTAAAGCCACTGACACAGATAATGAGAAAATGGATCCAAAGTGCAGATAGAGAAGGAATTTGGAAAAAGACAGGGATTGGCAACATCATGGCTTGGGGAAGGCCAGAACCTTGGCCAGTGGTGTGGATGGTGTAGCATTGACTGTAGAGAGAAGAAGCGCCTGGCTTCCAATAGGGACAAAGAGGGCACCCATGAGGTGGCTAAGCTTTGCCATCTGGTGTCCTCTAGAAACCCACTGCATTTACTTAGCTTGCCCATCACTCTAGGAGGCTGCCAGGGAATTCAGGGGCTGTAAACTTAATCTCTAGAGTCATATATTAATGGTACTTGCAGGTGGTGCTTTGGGAAGTAATTAGGATTACATAAACTCATGAAAATAGGGTCTCCATAACAACATTAGTGGCTTTATAAGAAGAGGAAGGGAGACCTGAGCTGACATGCTTGCTCTGTCTTGCCTTATGATGCCCCCTGGCTATGCAATGATATAGCACCAGATATCAAACCTTATCAAGCCTTTAAAGCCTCCAGAACTCTAAGCCAAATAAACTTCTTTATAAATTACCCAGTCTTAGGTACCCTGTTATAGCAACAGAAAGGACCAAGACAGAGGCTTGCACTCAGATGCCAGCTTTGATCTACTCCAGCTAAACCTACAAAAAACAGAAAATGGAGTACTATCTCTAGACAACAGCACCAAGGGGGCCTTTGCTCATCTCCACTGAAGAAATTAAAGACCATCCTGGGATGGCACGGGGCAGGGGGTGGTGCTTTAGCTAGAAGTTATGTGTAAAATACTTTTTGTACACAACCATGAAATGTATCTTAAAAATTTTATAAGAATGTATTAATTGAACATATTAGTAGGGCTTAGTGTGCTATTTCCATCCATGCATATAATGTGCACAGATCAAATCCAACTTCCTTTTTTACACCCTCCACCCCCAATAAAACCTATTTTAAATGCTCCTGGGAAGATTGTAATTCAAAGGAATTGTTCCACTTTAAGCTGCAAATAATTTTACACTGAATATTCTTTTGCAGCTTAAGAGTTTTATACATTTGTGGTTTTATGTATCAGGGTGTACTGTATTTTCAAACATGAATCATCACTGTCACCACCTTGCATATTAGTAATGATAATAATTATGATGATAGTGATAATTAACAAAGTTAAAAGCTACACAGATAAGTGCCTGGCACAGAACAGGCCCTGGTGGTTGTAGAGTTAGTGAAGAAAGCCCTTATGGACTGGAAGAAGGGTTCCTAAGAAATCTGAATTCTCTGATTAAAAAAATCAGATCCTACATTTCAAATGAAAACTTGTTAAGGTCAAAACAATGAAACCTCCAATTCCCTTGTCTGGGCCCAGACCTTGAGGTCAAAAGGAAAATAAACACAGCTCTAGGTTCAGGCTAACCTCAAGGTGTCACTGCTTCATGCCCTTAGGGAGCTCTGATGGCACCTGGAGCCATATGGCTCAGCTCCAGGAAGGAGGCCATGCTGGCGTGACTGATGCTCTGCATTTCAAGCTCCAGGAGCAGCTGGGCCCCATCTGGCTCCCAGGTCAGCTTTGTTCCAGGCCTCCCTCTGTACCTGGAATTTCTGCTAGAAGGACATGTGGCAAATGAGCCTCCATGGCCCTACATGGGTTTTAGTTTCTTGCCTGGGCATAACTGGCTGGGAATAGCAATTAATGGGACACGTTCCTTGGCAAAGGGTAACTACTGATTACTGGGAGACAAACATAGAAGAACCAGCTGTAGAACTGTACACAGCTAAACTAAGTACACGGGACTAAAAATATGAAAATGGCTTCCAACAACAGTGTCATCGCCAGAGCTCTGTGGATAGTTACACATGTGACATGGGAACTAACATGGACAGGACAAGTAAGTATACAGAATCATGGGCCCTCCAATCTGAGCTGCAGCTCTGTACAAGGAAGGGAATCCCTGTGACTTGAGGCTTCCAGACTCCTTTCAGAAAGCAGAGGACATTGGTGGGGCTCTAGTTCATGCCTGGTCCTCCTCCAACACTGTCCTGTATGAAGTAGAGGTAACTATGGAAACACTGCATGTGATCCCAACTTTCCCTAGACCAATTTCTTTCCAGACCAAACCAGGGAACCTAGAACCAGGCACAACTCTTCATGGGTAATGATATTCATTCACCTGCCTAGGATCTTTCCCAAGGAAATAAATAGAATCTCTGTATGCAAAACATACATATTTTGTTTTATCTTCATGTGCAATTATTTTTATAGCTCCTGTCAGAAGTGGTCTCATACTCAGCAGTTCTTATGTTAAAATAAATCATGGTAAATATTTCTGATTCTTTAAGGGCTGCCAATTCACTGATTGAGTCATTTTTGTTTATTTTATTAATACATTTTTTTTGTGGTACTGGGCCTTGAACTCAGGGCCTTCATCTTAAGCCACTCTACCAGCCCTATATTTGTGAAGGGTTTTTCGAGATAGGGTCTCAAGAACTATTTGTATTTGCCCAGGCTGGCTTTGAACTGCAGTCCTCCTGATCTCTGCCTCCTCAGTAGCCAGGATTACAGCCATGAGCCACTGGCACCTGGCTTTATTATACATTTTTTATTAGAATATATTCGTTATTCAGGGAGGCATTCATACTGACAATTCTGAATGGGCTTATACTGTACATTGGTTAGATCACCCCCATCATCTCTTCCCCTCAAGCCTCTCCCTGGCCCACTTAAACAATTGCAGGAGGTTTCTTTGTTCTCTTTCATATAACTATATGAAGTCCATTAACCATATACCCTTACTTTGATTTCCTTCAATCTCCCTCCTCCTCTCACTAGTACCCCCGCACTGTACCTATTTTTCAGTCCTGTCTTTTGTTATTAATATTTAAGTCCATATTCTAAGGGGTTTCTCAGTGTGTCCTCACTGGGAGTCTACTTTACTTTGGTCTGTGATTGAGTCATTTTTGAAAAACTTGTGGAGCCAGTTTTGGTAATCAAAACTCATAATGGCAAAGTAACCTGAGCTTCTTTGAAACAAGGGGTCATCTAAACAGTGAGCCAGCAAAGCAGGGTTAACGAGTCAGATCTAGCCCTCTGCCTGCTTTTGTAAACAGTTTTACTTAGAACACAGCCATGTCCTCTATTGCCATGTTGTCTATGGCTGAGTTGGGCAGTGGCAAGAGACCATATGTCTGTAAAGCTAAAATATAATTTCCCACAGGCCCTTGACAGAAGAGATGTGCTAGTCTTTGATTAAAAAAAAAAAATGGCCTCCAGATCAGCAGAACTGGCCTCACCTGAAAGCTGGCCGAACCTGTAGGACCTAAGGCTCTATCCCTAAGGAACTTGAATTTCTATAAGGTCTTTAGGTGATTGTGAAGAAACTAAAGAATGAGAAACTTAAATATGCAAATGAAACACCTAGGAAGCTTGTTAATATGAGGATCCTGATTCAGTATGTCTGGTGGGGAGCCCATTCAACATGACTAACAAATCCTGAACTAATGCTGCTGGTACTTGGACTACACTTTGAGTAGCAACGTCTGATATTTTCCTGGATGTCATCTGGCAGCAGAATCACTGATGGCACACATCAGAAAAGTTTTAAAAGGAGCATCCAAGCTGGGTGTGGTGGCAGGCACCTGCAATCCCAGCACCAAGGAGGGTGAGACAGGAGGATTGAGAGAGTTGAGGCCAGTCTGGGCTACATAGTAAGATCTTGTCTCAAACAACAATAGCAATGAACAAACAAACAAACAAAGCACAACACAACACCCCAGAGCAGCCAGAGTGTCAGGAGGAAAATCAGTTGAGGTGCTTTCAAATGAAGCATGCAGGTTCCAGGACTTACCTTCTTCAGTATTTCTGTGTTCAGCAGCATGTAAATGTCGATAGTATGGCTTTCTTCTTTAGTGAGAGCGCTAAGGTTACAGTGCATTGTTAGGCAAGAAATTCCTGGCTTTTCACAGTCCTGAGAAGAAAAACCAGAGAACTGCCAAACAGTATTAAGAACAAAGATGGATACATAGCCTTTTATAAAACAGTAAGCTCCAGAGCTTGTGTTCCGGTGACTAAGGCAATCCAGGCAGAGGATCAAAAGGACACTGGTAGAACCCTGTGCACTCTCCAGAGTCACAAGGAAGGAAAAAAAAAAAGATGATGTAATCATTGTTTAATGCCACCAGAGGGTGATCGAGGGACTTCCATCCCTGCAGCCCTCCTCCAAGTCAAGCAACTGGGAGGAAGCAGCTCCATGGCTAACCCTAACACAAAGCTGGATTTCAAAACAACCAATTGTTTTAAAAAAGAAACACCAACATATTCTGATAGTATTCTTATGGGTTTTGAGCACAAAATATGTTTCCTACAAATGCAATATCTGCCTGTGCAGTGGCAAATACATATTTATAGTCATTTATATATTATAGGGCCAAGAAATCATGTGACTCTTGCTCAAGAAAGCACATAAATTATGGAAAGAAATGTAAATTCCAAACTTTTTTCTTTTGTATTGTAGAGTCCAACATGTGTAAGCATACCTTTGTGAGGTTTCATTTGCAGGTGAGACAGAGTCTTGTTTATCAAACAGCCAGCTATCACTACACTTAATGACTCGAAGCACTTTAAAAATAGCTGTCTACCCTCACTAAGTAAGGGAAAAGCCCAAACCTTTCAAGTGGTAACAGTTGTGCTTTTCTACCTGGGAAGAGAGTGAAGAGGGACATGACAAATGTGCAGTGTGCCAGGGTGAAAGAAGGAGCTAAGGAAATGTAACCAAAGGTCCAGGGAAAGGAGGCTTTGGAAAAGCATTATGATCCCATCCCCAATGCTTTAACTAAAAAGTACAAGGTATGGTATACACAATAAAGAGAACACATCATAAATGTACATCTTGACAAACTTTTACCTATATTTACACCTCGAGACCCACTAGCCTGGTCATGATGTAGAACAATTCTGTCACCTCCATAGGCACCCTCATGCCCCATTTTATCAATATTCTTCCAAAAGTAACCACTATCCTGACCTTCATCACCACAGATTAGTTTTTGCTATTTCTGAACTTTACACACTTTGTGAAAAATTTCAATATGACCTTTCACTCAATGTCATTTCTTAATATTTACTCATGTTGTTCTATGTAACAGTAGCTTGTTACTTTGCCTTGCTGTGTAATATTCCAGATATGGATATACCAAAACTGTTTGCTCATTCACCTTTTAGCAGATAACTGAACTGTTTTCAGCTTTTGGCTGAGACAGCTGTGAATATTCCTGTCCGTGTCATTTGGCAGACACACACACTCATTTCTCTTGGGAATAGACCCAGGAATTGTCTAGATTTGGGTCACAGAGTACATTATGTTTAGTTTTAGTACATAGTGCCAGATAGTTTTCCAAACTGTTGTATAAAAACCAAACACTTGTTTAGACTCTTGTTGGAGAAATAGTTTACTTTGTGTGGTAGGTTGCAAAGGTTGCCCCTTTGCCAGGCAATGGAATTTGGAATATAAATTTAATACTTTGATTGAAAACTCAGGTTGAGAAAAGGAACTGACTACAGTCTTTGTGACTTTTAAAGTCAACTGATGAAAACCAGATTGGGAAATAACAAATTCTAAACAGAAAACTGACCTCCAGTGTCAGACTTGCCTTCCTCGTGAGGACCACCCACCATACCCAAATCACAAAACAAATCCTTACCAAGACTTTTCTTCCTGACTTTGTGAAAAAAGCAAATATTGTGTGGAAGATATTTTCTTGTTCTTGAGGGATGATGCAGGGGGTTGGGTTTTTCTGGAAAAAGCAGTTTCCTTTCTCTTGGCCCACCTGAAAATGAAGACATCCTATCAGAGTAGCCAGACCCAAGAACAGGTGCTGAGCTGGAGTCTTTGCTATTCATAGTAGCAGTTGAACCCAAATTCTTCTCACTTTCCAGTCCATCAGCCAGTGGACAAGGATGGCTGAAAAGGTGTCTCCTGTATTGCCCAGGCTGGCAGGTGACCCTCCTGCTTCAGCCTCCTGAATAGCTGGGGCTACAGCATGTGCCACCATGCCTGCCTCTGGCTGAAAAGCTTTAAGGCGGAAGTTATAGCATCAGTGAGGCCAAAAGCAGAAAATGTGGAAGTCCCTAAATATTGAGACAAGCTGACACACAACATGCAAATAATTTTGTGACTAGGGAAATGTTAGATGTGAGGAACAAAATAAATCTTACACTCCTGATTTGCAAGGATATTTACATACTCCTTACAGCAGTTCTCTCAGATAGGCACTGATGTTGTCTGGATGAGGAAAGTGAGACTCAAGTGAAGTCACCTGTCCACAAACATAGAGGTAAGGGCCCTGGTCGAGAGCTCAGGTCTTCTGAGAACTTAAGGTCAGTAAGTAAGTAAGTGGACCTTCTGTACAGTCCATGACCAGAAGTTTCCAGAATGTTCCATGGAGCCACCAGGGGGCTGTAAAACCCCTTCTTGAGGAGGAGGAAAGGAATGAAGGTTGGTTCTGGGGACTCGTCTCTCTCCAACTAGAGTATCAACTATGTATGATGCCACATAAAACCAGGACTCTGCTACCAAAAAAAAAAAAAAGGTGGCAGTGAGCCCACAGGAACTTTTCTGCCTAGTAAGCTTTCTTGGTGAGTTGTCTGATTTTGCTTCTGACAGCAGTGGTAACAGTGCTGTACACAGGGATGTGAAAAACAAAATGTATCACACAATGGCATGTAGCCTTTCAGGTTAACATCTTTAAGAACACACACTCTTTGACATCTAAAGTGAGGAACTGTTGAAAAAACCCAAGTCTTTATATATCATCACATCAGACTGGTTGTTGCTAAAGACTGGAGAGGATGTCGTATCAGAGCAGAAAACTAATAATTAGAAATTCATAATTTAGTATTGTGTTTATAATCCCACTGTTAGCCAGAATCACCTGTTTAAAATTTCCTATCTTCAGTGACTTTGAGTAAACTGTAGCACATTTGAATTTATTCAAGAATGTTCCAACTTCTCATTTGTGGTAGGGACCAAGGTTAAAAGGTTTTACATAAAGAAACTTCTAACTTAAGAATGTTAATCCTTGAAAAATGAACTATAAAACAAGACCACCAAAATTTACCAAATTAATCTCAATTTTATCTTTGGTCTGAACAAACTGCAGGATTTAATATATGTTTCTGAAAGGTCTATTTCTGCAAATTAACTATTAGAAAAGAGAATGCTTTGCAAGTTAACACTCTGGGGCCAGTGATTGAAACTGTTTGACACAATTTGAACTTGAAGTCTAACTTATTCTGGTATTCTCTCCTTTCTGAGACAAGCCATTGTATAGATTTAAACATATATATGAGAATGCTGCTCTTACAAGTGTCTCATAGTTTGGAACTTGTCCTTTCCCTTAAAAGTTCTCATGATTTGGAACTTTCGCAATTACTTTATTTGAACCACAAAATTTGGGGAAACCATGCCAGCCTGAAATGGTCTCAATGGACATGGGTTTTGAATGATTCAAAAGAAGTTACGAGGGACTCATCGGAAGGAGGCAATGAAGCACAATGAAGATTTGGTGGCTATTTCTTGGGTACAATTGTTGAAAGTTACATAAACGTAGGTGTAGGTACATGTAGATAATAGTGCTGGGGATCAAACCAGGACCTTGCACTCAAGAGGAAAGTGCTCTATCACTAGTTATTGCCCCAGCCCAAAGTAATGGTAAGTATTTTAAAGCTCATTTTAGAAAGCAGCACACACACTATTCATGTGGAGAGGATCATGAATTTTCACTTACAAGACAAATGAGAAAAACACCTGATGCAATGTGTGCAAATGAATATTTATGTGTTGCAATAAAATCTCAGCATTAAACATGGGTTCAAAAAGTTCTTCCTTTCTAGCTGGGCAAGGTGGCTCAAGCCTATAATCCTAGCTACTCAGGAGGCTAATATTGAGAGAATTGTTGTTCAAGGTTGGCCAGGGCAAATAGTTCTCAAGAACCTATCTCCAAAATAACCAGAGAAAAATGGACTGGAGTGCGGCCCAAGTGGTAAAGCACCTGCTTTGCAAGAGCAAAGCCTTGCACTCAAACCCTAGTCCTGCCAAAAAAAAAAAAAAATTCTACTTTTCTTCCAGGTATGGTGGCTCATGTCTATAATCCAGCCCAGCTACTTGGGAGACAGAGATTAGGAGGACGGGTTTGAAGCCAGCCTGGGCAAAAAGTTAGTGAGAAATCATCAGAAAAAAACAAGTGATATATAGTGGCGTGCGCTTGTGACCCAAGCTACACGGGATGTGTAGGTAGGAGGAATGTACCAGGGGCTGGCCTAGGAAAAACATGCAAGACCCTATCTGAAAAAAATAAACTAAACTAAAAGTGGCAGAATGCTAGCCTAGCAAGAGCAAGGCCCTGAACTCAAACCTCAGTACTGCCAAAAAAAATTCTGAATGTCCAATAATGGGACAAATTGATGATGATATGTTCTGGAAAATTGTTGACCAAAGAAGTGTCTAGTAATGATATGTACTAATCTCAAAAGGCATATGGTTGAATAAAATATTTGTGAACTGTTAGAGAATGGAGAGTATTATAAATACATCGGTTGAGTATGATTGTAAGGATGCAGCTACATAATCATTATAAGTATTAGATCCATTCATTTTTCTAATATTTTTAAATTGAAATTGAATTTACATTCTTTACAATGCACAGATTTTTTTTTTTTTGGTACTGGGGTTCTATCTCAGGGCTTGCTAGGCAGGCACTCTACTACTTGAGCCACACCCCTAGCCCCAATGCACAGATCTTGTTTTTGGTGGGGAGTGGGTGGGTGGAATTGGGGTTTGAACTCAAGGTTTCATGCTTGCAAAGCAGGCACTCTACCACTGAGTCACATCTCCAGTCCATTTTGCTCTGCTTATTTTGGAGATAAGGTCATGCAAACTATTTGCCCAGGCTGGCCTCAAACTGCAATCCTTCCAATCTCAGCCCCTCAAGTAGCTAGGATTATAGCTGTAGGCCACTGGTGCCCAGCTCCAATGTACAGATCTTAAGAGTATAGTTTGATGTTTTGTCAAATGAAACCACCATCCCAATACAAGAACAGAGCCTATCCACCATGCTAAAAAGACTCCTCTGGCTAATTTCTAGTCTATTCCATCCCAAATGTAACTACATTTCTGATTCTGATTAAGGCAGCTCAGGAAATATAGTTGGGAGCTGCCCTATACCTAGATATACATGGTGTGTGGCAGATAGAAAGCATTTATGTCACAGGGCATTTGAAAATTTGGAAGTGCATGCTCATGCTTTCAACTCCCACCACCTTTCACTCTGAAGGAAAGGAGGCTCCCCTTCCTTGCTTGTCTCAGTGGACAGATGCTGACAGAGCCCTGGAAGCTGGTCTTCTGCATGCGTATCCTTGTGAAGAACCTAGGCCTGGTTACCCTGCACATCTGGTCTAGCTCTAGAGAAGCAGAACCTCTAGCCTTGCAGGATATACTCTCCCTTGGTGAAGTCAGAGGTGAGGGCAGAGGTCCTCCTTTCTTGGTACACTGGTGCTTCAGGTATCCAGGCAGGGAGAGGTAGATCTCCAACCACCCAGTGTCACTAGGGGGCTGTCATTCAGCCACAGATGCCAGCAGAGGGGCAAGGGGGTAAGAAGCAAGCAAGCCTCAGTGTCAAGCCAGAAAGGCAGTCATGGCTCAGAACTCTTTTCCTCTTTCATTGGTAGTTTCTGGCGGTGGTCTGGGAACAGGGAAGTGACGAGGCAATGTGATGCCACACAACATTTAATCTGTCCCCAGCAGGAGCTGGAGAAGGGAGGGGAGACTGAGTGTGTGGAGAATACAAATTTTGGCCATTTGTGCTCCTGGCTGTGGTTACGTGAGAATCATTTGAATCAGAGATACTGCTTTTCTGGGATGTTCAGGGAGGTTCTATTTCAAAGGGAGACTGAAGGCTGCAGGGGTCTTCACAGGTCTGGATCAATACCAAATAAAATTCAGCAATGTAGTCCCTGGCCAGGGTCAGCAAAGGGAGACCTCCTCGGTGTGCTGGCTTGATATGTTATGGTCACAGTAACACCAGACACTTGTACAGCCCTTCCATGGGCCAGCTCTCAGTGCTTTTCACACACGACCATTCAGTACTCATAATTGTGCCATAGGCAGGTGCCATTGCTATCCCCATTTTATAGATGGGGAAACTGGGAGACAAGGGCAAGCCAGATGATCATCAGAGGTCCCCTAGCTAGCAGGTCAACAGAGTGGGGCAGGTATACACACCATCCAGCTCCAGAGGTCTGCCTTGTAACCACTTCCTGCACTGCTTCCTAGGTATGGAGCCTAAGGATGGGCTGTGGCAGTCAGGGGATGTCAAGGAGGAGGGACACCACCCCTTCTTGTTTTTACCCATGCCATGGGAAGGAGCCCCTAACCGAGAAGCCTGGAAATCTCAGTCTTTTGTCCCAACCTATTTTTGCCACTGTGAAGAGAAAAAAAAGGGTCTTGACCACATCATGGGAGGGAAAGTGCCTGCAGGTGGGGAAGGCCAGGACACTGTGTGCTTTCTCATGGGCTGAAAAGGGAACAGAGTACCCTGGAATGTTTCTGGAAGGCAGCTCCAAGATCACGTGGCCCTGTGGGCTTGGCTGACAGATAAGGAACCAGAGGCCCAGAGTTCAGTGACTGTTCAAGGTCACTTGGTTGGCGGTGGGCAGCCAAGGTGTAAAAGCACCTAGTGAAGAAATTCTGGAGCTCAGACATTCTTGAGCAGCCAGTGGTCCCCGGCTGCAGCCCAACTCTGCCTCCATGTAGGCATGCTAACTGGGGTGT